AAAATATAATTTTTACATCTAATAGCAATGAATCCGATTGATATTTTTTTTTAATTTTTAAAATTTTTTAAATAACAAATATTGCTATTTTTTAATTACAAAAAAATAACCAAAAAAAATCTTTAAAAAAAATAACAATGAATTCGATTGATATTTTTTTTAATTTTTAGAATTGTTTTAGATAATAAATATTGATTTTTTTTAATTACAAAAAAAACAAAAAATCTAAATTTAAAAAATAGCAATGAATTCGATTGATATATTTTTTTTAATTTTTAGACTTTTTTAAATAACAAATATTGTTATTTTTTTCATTACAAAAAGTAGCAATGAATCCGGTTGATATTTTTTTAATTTTAATACTTTTTTTTAAATAACAAATATTGCTTTTTTTTAATTACAAAAAAAATGACAAAAAAAAAAAAATCTTAAAATTAAAAAAATGGGCCTGACCCCACCCCAAAAAAAAAAAAATTCCGCCATCATCGTTCCTCATCCTTCTTCCCACCAAAATTCATCAAAATCCTCCAGCCAGGCCCACCGTCGGTCAAACCTAATTTTCGTCCACCCAACTACACTATGATTGTTCTTCAATTGTTCCTAATTTCCCTCTATTTTTGTTCTTCCCGAGAATTGTTCTTCGTCAGGTGACCGTCGGGATGGCTCCACTTTAATGCGTGGAGTTGCTGAAGGAGAGACGGCGGAGCAACTGCTGCGAAGAATTACTTTCTTGGCTTCATAAAGCTGATTCTTTGGGGCAATTTGAGCAGGATTAACCTTTTTCAGGTATTAATAGTTACCTTTACCTTGACTTTGATTTCCTTGGTGTTTTTTCTTTGTTTTAAATAATTTTAATTCTCTTTTGATTAGTTTGGGATACGCAAATTGATTCTTTGGTTGTTTCATAATTTTTTGATTGTATTATTTGCTAGACTATTCAAACGTATGATTTGTTGGTTTAGTGATAAAAGTTATTTGCAGTTTGAGATTGAATGTGGCCGTTTGGATTTTTCTGTTCAATCTTTTTTTTTTTTTTTTATCCTTTTGTGTTTGGTGCATACAGTTTAGTGATGCTTCTTGGTGCGATTGTTCTTTTATAATTAATTCTTTGTTTAATTACTTTATAACTGATGATTATTGGTTTGTAATTTATCCTGTTATTTATTAGTTGTCGATGCAATTGAACTGGTATCCAGTTTAGTACTTATTTTATTTGGTTCAGTTTTGAGTTTTGGAGTGTTCAACTTAATTATGAGAAGCAACAAGTATTTTAAAAATTACAAACCACTGTCTTTAGGCACCTTGCTCATTAGCTGATGAGTCTATGATAAATTTTCGGACTTGACTCTGCAAAAACATGGTTAGCCAAACTAAGAGGCAGCCTCCTTAATGAGTTAATGTCGTCCTGGGCCCTAATAACATTTGCGCTTTTAGCAGCAATGCTCTGTGACATGCCTCCGATACTGCTGATTTGGCTCGGAGAAATGCTAATCCTCCTCAGCAAGAAAAGACGCCTGTCATTAAGCTCCTTGAAAGGTTTGTGTTCCATTCAAATTTTGAAAAAGTTTTAATATGACTTGTTATAGCGTGCGGTTTCATAATTTGATTTGGTAAATTCGTATTCTTTTTGGGGCTTGAACCGTGGGATACCTTACTAAGGGTTCTGGGAAATCAATCATACTAGGGTTGAGGTATTTTTTGTATTAAATAAATCACCTCTTCTCCGGCTTACTCGTTGCAAAGAAGAGAAGAGAGAAATCCTTTGATTCATATTATTTTGGAGTATTTCGTACTTTATGATTGAATTCATCCCAGAGAAGTGTATATTTAGAGGAATTCATTTGTAATTTTGGAGCTGTTGATTTTGTATATTTGGAGGGGAAAGGAGAAAAAAACTTGGTGGCTAACAGTTTTGATCTCTGTCAAAGGGACACCTTTTCCTCTGCAGCTGAGGAAGTTCATAAATCTGTTGATATACATGTACAGCGTTGGGATTACCCTTTTGGTGGTATTCGTTGATTTGTGTTCTTTTTCTTGTTTGTATTTTCTGGGCTCGAACTACTTTTCTGTTCTTATTGTTATATATCTAAGTTTTCTTTCCATTCTTGCTCTATTTTCTTTTGAGGTTGATCGTATGGGGGTTTATTTAGGCTTCTCAAAATATTGATTAAGGGAGGGGTTTTCTTTTTGTACTTCTTCAAAGTTAAGCTGGTTTCGGTAGCTATGCTGCAGAGTTTAAACACGAACGCTTAAATAATAGTACATTGTTTCAGAGAGAGGTTCTTAGGATATGATGTAATTGGAGAGTTTTGATTTCCTTTTAAGAAATGAAATTGAACTGAGTTTAATTGTCTGGATATTGTACAGACTTTAGATGCTTTGCTGTCTAAACTATCGTCCCAAGAATCCATCTTTTTTTTTTTTCGATACGTGCATATTTCTCATTTGTTTTTCCTTTGGCAGAATGGAATCAGCACATAGAGCATGGCTGTGAGAGAGAAAAGAAGGAATGTGGCCTCAGTTTTGGGATGACTTATCCAGGGAGCTTCATATGGCTTTAGGCACTGCAAAGTGTTTTATTTTTCCCCTCTAAAACTAAAATAACGACATTTACATTAGCTTTTCACTCTTTGGCTGTCAAATAAAGATCATATGTTGCCCTTGACGTATTAAGAAATAAATTAGGCCTATTGTTAAGTTGGCTTCAAACTCCGCCTTTTGATTCAAGGTGGATTGTCCAGCTTTGAACTCCTATTATTTACTTAAGAACTCATTTGATGGTAGCCGATAGAGCCTGGCTGACATTCTTGAAGACTTCAAAATGGTCTTCAATTTATCATCCCTCTTTGCCTGTTGGGAATGACTTAAAGATGTGGAAGGGAAGATTTGTAACTCGATGCAGGTAAAGATTATTTCTTGTTGATTTAATTATTTCTGGTTGATTTATGTATGTGGAGCCTTGTTTTTAAAGGAGGTAGTGGGTTGATGGGGAATACTGCCACCCTTTCTGTTTTAAGCTGCAATCTATTATTTGTTAACTTTTTGCATGATGACCATGAGTTACTTCAAATTTCATTGTGTAGTCTGAAAGCAAAGATGTTCTTTGCAATTGATTTACTTTGAGCTTCAATATGTGTTTCTCATCTTTTGTCACTTTTCTTATCACAAAGTCATGCAACCATGGGTTTCTATAAGTAAATCCTCCATGGAGCTCCAAAAGCTTTGAACAGGTAATGCAAATACTTCCTCCTGACTGCCTGGAATATAACTTTAGGTTTCAAGCTCTATTACGATTACGGAAACTGCTATTTGGGTCAGTTTGACCTACTATGTTATGGGATTTGATCCAAATACCAGTAGGTCTCCTAACGACTGTAGTTAGACCAACTTTGATTTCTTGGTTATTGAAATTCCACTTTCAAAGGATTTGTATGTGATGCCAGGTTGTTTAGGCAGTATCTTCTGCGTGTATGCATTAGCCAGATGGCTTCAGGACTATTTCGCTTCATGGGATCAGTCAGAAGGAATATGATTGTTCCAAACACATTTGGATCATTTCATTACTTATAGCTCTTATATTGGGTTGATTTGTTTTGTCACATGGTAAGTAATTTTATGGAGAGATGGATGTAGACATTTGCACTGCTACTCTCTTTTTGATTTGGTTTATAACCGAGAATGACAAAATCAACTATATTGTTTGATTCAGATAACATAAAGAAGTGGTGGATATGGGGTCATTGGATCTCTCCTATGATATATGGACATAATGCTATTGCCGTCAATGAATTTCTTGGGAATAGCTAGAATAAGGTAAGCATTCTTTACTTATCTCGTTGTTCCTTGACACTGAGTGACTCAAATTTTAAGAATTTCTGTAACAATGTTTCTCGCAAGTGCAAGAATATGTTGCAGGTTGCTGCTGGACTAACCTAACTATTAGGGGTTTCGGTCTTAAAATTTTGCGACATTTTCGCTGAACCATAATGGTATTGGATAGGAGTTGGAGCTCTTCTTGGCTACATTTTTCTTTTCAATTTCTTGTACACAGTCACTCTAAGCTATCTTAAACATAAGAGTTGTTCGCTAATAATCTGTCTCCATTGTCTTTATGTATTCCAAAGGATTAAGAATGCAACTGTATTGAGGTTAGGATCTGAAATGTACCTAAATATTGACATTCCTTATTACAGGAATGCATACATCTGTATGATCTTTTCTTCTTTATTTCGCTTCCATGGTATTGAAGGAGTAAGCAAAATTAAAGATGGTTACAATCCTGCGACCTGTGATTTGAACCAGCATACATTTCTACTTCTGTTATAAAAAATAATCTAAACCGAATTTTGGTATTTGTAATATTTTTAGCATAAATTTTAAAGATTCAATGTGGATTTATTCTTTTAGAAATAAGGTTTTGGGTTTAGACAAATTAGTGTGGATTATTTTTTCTGGGTTATAATGAAAGATTTAATAAGTTTTTCTGTAAAAATAATCTGTAAATTCTCATTTCACTCAAGACGGATCTATCACTAAACTTCTAAAAAATGAATTTAAAACTTACGACAAAAGTAGGATTACATATGTATTAAATAATCTATTGTTTATTATGCATTTGGAGAAAATTTTGTGTGTGTATTGTTATGACATCCCTTGTTTTGTTTTAAAAAAAATTGCAAATTCCTAAATCAACTTTCTTTATTTCTTTCGTCATCTTTACCGACCAAAATTGCAAATGTATTTGTCAAAATCAGGAGAAATAAATACTAGATCAAGGAATTAAGTACACCTATTGTCCTGTTCCAGGTTCGAAAGATCGGTATTTTAAAACACGTTATTCACAGCCATATTTCACCCAATTCAGGGCTTGCCTATGGAAGCTACATTTACCATACTGGTGAAACCCCAAGTAGTCATGCTAATATAATTATTGTGTTGGTTTGATTATATCTCTTTTAATCTGTCCGATTATTATACTGTGTTTTACATGGTAAAGTGTTATAGAAAAAACTCAATTAAACATGAAGCAAAAAGGACTTATCACAGACAACAGAGTAAAAAATTCTGACATATGAACTGGTCACGCACGACACCAAAAGACTAATTATTAATAATAGGAAGCATATTTAAATCTCTCCTGCAAACTACATAATGTCTTGTTTAACACTGAAGTTGCATATGGTGCCTTGATTGTTTAGCCAAAACTAAGGCTATCCAGCACACTTAATCTGATATATAACCTGCAGCAAAGCCAGCAGCAACAATGTAGAGGCAGCAAGAATTGAAATTATACCCCAAGAACTATGTATATATTTGCGCTGAAAACTCGCCATCCATTTATTCAAACATCTGTCGCAGTGGCTGTTCACTTTCTTGAACAAGGGAGCATAATGCAAGTTCTTACCCGGACCAACGATGCAGCTATCCATAGTGCGAAACATTCGACAAACAGCTTCACTGTCGCCTACAAAACTACGTAGAATCCCGTGTCGCGACAGTGTCTGAACATCTTCAACAGACTTAATGAGGCAACCGAAAAATGCCATGTAATCTGTCACGATGTTCAAGCTAGCATTCCCACAGTGTTGCTCGTGTGCAATGAGATTCCTAAGATAGCTTTCTGTTCTGTCTTCCACGACGAAGACCGGGATTTGCAGCAATCCGTCGTTGAATACAACGTCAAATGTGACTGTCTCCATCTTCTCAAACCTGATTCCCGCCACGGCCAGTTCAGTGGAACTTCCAATGAAATCCACAGTATCATGGTTCCACGTCGAATCCCGGTTATGTACAGGGTTGAGGCTGGACCAACATCTGTGTATCAAATCAAGCAAATGTTTGATGTTGTCGGCTCGAGGTGCTGAAAGTTGGCGCTTTTCTCCACGGACTGGCAAAAGATCATTGAAAAACTCCAATGCCGTACCCATTAGTTGGTCGAGTTGACCTGGAGGCTCAATCATTTCATGCAGTTTACACAAAACGAAGAAAGGAAGTTGATTTTCAAACAGCATTAGATCTCGCTGCAAAGTTGCCAGAATCCATTCCATTCTGAAAACAGGATCGTTCTCGGTATTTTCTTGCCGGGGACCATTCAATGCCAGTTGCGCCGGATCCTTATAAATCTTAAACTTTCTGATTAACTCAAGTACAAAGCATCCATCTAACAACAACATGGTGACAAAATCTTTCGATGAAATGTCTATTGGCTCCGAATAGCATCTTCGTGCCTTTTCCTCTAATGACCTCATAGCCGCGACGCAATGTCGCAATTCATCATCTCTTCGCGATTTGAGGAACCGCCACTTGTGTTCCTCCATCATTTGGAGATGAGGTTTGTTTCGATGATACGGTCCAATCGAGATAATCTCGGGTTCATAAGATTTATCATTTACGTTTCTCAACGCATCGCGCACTCTAAAGATGCAACATTCAGAGTGTGAGCCTACAATACTATCGAGCTTTTCATTAATTGTAATTAAAACATCGTCAGCTTCCGCGACTGCCATTAGTTAGTCTCTGAGAAACCACACAGAATCCATATAAATTCATCAGCACATGTTATCATAATGAAATACTGTATGCCTTCTGTAGCTAAAATGAATATCTAATTGTGAGCTCACCTCCACTTTATATATAAAACTGCTAAACTTCCATTAGTCCGCAATTCCACCTAATGGTGAAACCATCCCAGATGATCACAACTTTGTAGTTGTGTTTGAGGAATTCATGAATATATGTGTTCAAAGATCCAACCAATCTTAAACTCTTATATCAGTTGTTGAGAATTTCTTCGGGCTAAGGTTTAACACAAACCAACCATGGAAATCACAGTAAGAGGTTATATCTCTTAAATCGATTTCAAGTTGAAGCTAAGAGGGAAAGATTGTAAGATTTGAGTCTTCAACCCATGAATTTCCATGTTTGAATTTATTGACGTCGACATTCTAGGGTTCAACACATTAGCTATATGAATATCCACCAGCCTAATATTTCAAGTTGCAAAATTTGAGAAACTTCTTCAATCTGTCGGTTTCAAGTTGCTGAACTTAGTCATCTATTAACTACAAGCAGTGAGAAACTAAGCTCTAAAAGAATTAAAGAGACACATACAATTTGAAAAAGGAAAAGGAAAAACTTACAAGAGGAGGATATTTCACAAATGGTACTCCCCAAGAATATTTTCAGCGCTCTGGAAACAATTCTGTCATAGCACCAAGTCTGCAGGGTCATTCTTTCAGCATATACGGAATCAAACATATAAGTAATTTCTGTAGAGAAACTTCCAAGAAATTTACAGTAAGATGTTTTGGAAGTTCCGTATGAAATTAAATTAAAGGATGGACCACATGGAGCCAATCTGGACTATGGTAATAATTACATAAAATATGTATGTAGCACCAAACGAACATGGACGCCATTAAATTGTATTATATCATAATTAAGTGAAGGGTTGTTGGTTTAGTTCATAATTCAATCTGAATTGATCTAAGGGGGCACTAGAAATGATGTTCAAGGTCAATTAATAGTGATCGATAGTTGTAATTGGACAAGCTCTGATTGATTACACAACAATATTTGTTATACAGTAGAACATTTATAAATTAATAATCGATAAAATAACAATATCTGCAAATTAATAATTTTTCAGGTCCCGACTAAAAAAACTAAATCAATTGATAAAATAATAAGACAATAATTTTTTACAAAGTTCTTTTTTTTTTTTTATAAATATAGGTCTTGTCAATATCATAAATTAATAATGACTTAAAATATAAAAAAAAATTAGGAGCTGTAAAATATTAATCTAGTAATGCATGTTTTTTCTTGAAATTTACATACAAAGATATTTCATCTTTGATTTTCATTGTATGTTTTTATATGCAACAAATAATTTCGAAAAGTTATTGCCCAATTAAGTGCTTCATTTTGTGTAATTGGTTTTGAAAATAATGAATTATCATCCTTTTCATACTAAGTCAAAGTTATACGACAGTAGTTTCGATGTCTCCAAAAATTTTATTAACTAATTGTTAATTTATCGGTAGATTAAATTATTAATACCGATAAATTATAAATTAATAATTTTTTTTGGCTCCTAACAACATTAATTCATAGATGTTTTAATATATTGTGCACTCCATTTTAATCTTGCCCACTTCGGATTCCATTTCGGATATTTCAAGTAGGAGGAAGGATTTTGATTTCAATGTGTGACGACTTGTTAATAATCTTATTTTCAGACTCATAACCTTGCATCTGAAACCTCTACAGCTTCGACGCCTCAAGAAGGACGTAAACTGTAGAACCAATTGCTAGTAGCTAGTAAGTAAAACTTAAACGCATTTTTTTTATACTACTCTTGTCTTAAAATTATGTCTAGTTTAGATTTTCATTTTTAGTACAATTTAAAATTATAAATGAAAAACGAAATTCGACAGTAATTTCAGGACGGAAAGAGTATATAAATTCTTCTTTCACATAATAAATCTAGAGAGTAATGGTACTACGTATGCATCCTAACTTCTTCACATAAAGTACATCGTCATTTAAATTAAAGAGAAATCGATTAACTATTAATCACTTGGAGACTAGGTTTTAGAAGAGCCTTTTCAATTTAGATATTTGCGTTTGATGGCTCCCTTACTAGCTTCTCGATCGTCTGGAACTTTATCTGATGTCGATGAAATAATTATTTTGTACCTCCGCTTTAAAAATTCTCGTGTGGCAATTCCATATCAACAGCCGCCGGTTAGCTAGGTAAACTATCTACGGACTAGCGGATCCAGGTGGGGGCCCGAGGGCCATGGTCTTTGCCGGGCCCACCCTGGACCATATATATGTATGAGTATTATTTTTTGATTGTTTTGAATTTTATTTTTTTTTTTGTTTTTTGTTTTGTTTTGTTTTGTTTTTTTTTTTAAACTCGTAATAAAGTTTCAGTTTTCTGCTATCAATTAGGTTTTGCTGGACACAGCATTATCGAAGAGTAATTTTCCTGAATAAAATCAGCACTTGCAGCCATGATAACTAGCTAGCTCGCTAGACCTGAGTATGGTCGTTTGGAATAATCCAAGAAAGATTCTTCTCAAACTTGATATCCCTTGATCCCGCCTGGCTCATGATTAAAACCTGGTACGATGCGTTTTCATATCCTACTCATTGAGAGGCGCGCCAAGAAAAACAAAAAAGAGAACACAAAATTAGGTTTTGTTAGTAATAATTTGCCTTAGTAATTTGTTTTGTTTTTTACTGTTTTATTGAGTTTTTGAGTAAGTCTTTTGCCGTTGTTTTTTTGTTACAAAATTTTAGGGATATGGTAACATAATTTCAGATTATGTGAGTAGTGGTTAAAATAGTAGTAGGAAGTTATTAAGTAGTGAAAGTCATAGAAAGTTGGGAACTATACATGTTCTCTTAGTCTACAAATAGTTAGTCATGTACAAGGAGTCATCTGCTTCCAAAATCCTAAATATTCAAGATTCTTTTCTCTCTCTCCTCCGTTATATTTTTTAAGCCTTCCTTTTATGACTCTAAATACTACAGGTTTCAAAGTTCATATATTAACTACGTACAGAAAATCAACTAACTCAGCATATGGAGACCTTTGTACATCTCTTCCGAGATTCTGGAGGGATATTCAAAATGAAGCAGTACTGATGGAGCTGCCTCTGAAGACATCTTGATCGAATAATTATGATTCTGGTTTAGTTTTCAATGGTGGAAGATTTGAATATGTAGTAAGTACCTAAATAGCACTAATAGGTAGGAGAAGATACTTTTTAAAGAACTTAGTGGTGAGAAAAGGTTGCTTTAAGTTAAATAAAAATAAAAAAGGGAAGAAAGAAACAAGAATAGGGAATGCATGTTTCTGTTTCTTTTTCTAGGAAGATGGTGCTGAATTTCATAATGGGATTTAACGGTTGATCTTTTTTGCATTAAGACTTTACTATTCATAAGATTAAGGCATTTTAGTGTACTTTCTTTATCCTGTCGCAATTATTGTCTAATTTTGGGTTATTTGTATTTATTAATAATCTTATAAAAACGAGTTTGTAATCAATAGAGTTTGATTATTCATAATCTTGCTTAAGTTTAGATTTGAATTTCTTAAAGTACTCCTATCAAAATTGAACTAATATTATCGAACAGATCGTGCTCATAAACTGCACAAACTTCAGACTAATTTGTCAACTAAGGCGGCCATCAAAAAAAATTTATGGTGATTATTTAGTGGCTCAAACTAAGCTTACATCCACGAACTTTTAGTATTCAAGTCCCTTTCAAGAAGTAGGTCGGGTTACTTTTAGTATTCAAGTCCCTTTCATGAAGTAGGTCGGGTTAAGTCATTGATGGTGAGGGATAGGCGTGAATTCTTGTAATATATGCTTTTCACCATAATAACACTCTCTAGTCAACCCGGAAGAAAGGCTCAATCATGTTTCCTTTAACTTCAACTAGCTCGATGGAGGTTATAAGAAAAAGTCTTCAAAAAGTGTGATTAATGAGGACATACGATTGGTTTATAGGTGTGCAAGAAAATTAGTATAGGGACCATAATCAATAAATATGTTCTGTTCTATAGTTGCTGTTTAGTTCAAGTGAACTTAGGGAAGGTTGGCTCTGTGATTAGCTGGTGGTTGGTTCTGAGTTGGTGCAGCAGTGAAGTTCATTCAACCTTGCAAGTGTAACTTTGTTCTTTTAGCTTGATGTTTCGGATTTGCTTTGTACTTTTGGTGCATTTCTTTGTAGTTTTCTATTCTAGTTGTTGAGGAAATAGGCAGTAGTTCAATTGTTTGTTTCAGTTTAAGTTTGTAATAAACAGTCTTGATTTCAAGACTTAATTGTTCCAAAACATTAGTAGGGGGTCTTTTGTAATTTCTGTAATATAGTTGATTATATATAGTCAGTAGATGTGAATTGGGTTTTATGACATAATTGATGATAAAATGATATTTTTAAGATACGTTGTCTCTCTCTAGAATAGTCGATTTTCCCAATTTTTCGTCTTTTAGAACCTTAGTTTTAGTTTGTAATCCTCTGTTTACCGAAAATTCTCTCCAGTTTAGTCTCCGATTAGCTAGATCATGACAGGTAAGGTGTTAAGAGTTGTCCCACATCGCCACTGTGAAGAAACATGGATTTGCATATAAGTTCCAAAGACTATCCCAGTTGCTAATTGATTTGAGATGCGAGTTCAAAGTACTTATATATCTCGACAAACTTCAAAAAAATATTCTCTGAGCTGTTTTAGAAATTTCGTACGAAATTTAATTAAAGAATTGGACTCATGTCTTTATACACTATAAAGCAGTGAGGACCACATGCACAAGGAGCCAATTAATCTGGACTATGTCTAATAATTAAATACATAGTATCAAATGAACTTGGATTATATCATCAATTAAGTAAAGGGTTGTTGATCAATCTATAATTGTATAAGAATAAATTAACCATGTCACTAGCAATAATTAATGTACAAGGTAAATAATAGTGACTTCAATTGGACAAGTTTTAATTAATTATGTACACATCACTCTATAATCGTTGATCAGCCATATAAGAGGGCATTCGTTCAAGACGCTTTTTACACTCACCGTCATACTATGGGAACTAAAAGTAAAGGTGTGACGACCTTTTTTTTTTCTTTAATATATTACATATTCGGTGATTGAAAATATATACCTTGCCTCATCCAAATTCCCTTTTGTATCACTTGGGTATGACGAAGGATATCGATTTCAAAGGGTGAGGACTTATTATTTTTCTTATTTTATGATTCATAACGTAGCACCTGTCTAAGGCCTTGACATCTTAGAGAGGGTGAGAACTCAAGTCGAACTAATTAGTAAAACACATTTGTTTTTTTCCCCTTTTCAACCTGTGTATATCAAAAAGTCGAGTATATATTCTAAACAGTTGTGCTTTTAAATCATGATGGATCTATAAATATAGAATATGGGTAACTTCCTTGCATAAAGTTCATATTCATTTAAATAAAAGAAAACAAAAATTTAAACACGCATCAAAGAAGACCAAGTTTCTTAATAACTATTCACTTGGAAACTAGGCTTTTAGAAGAGCCTTGATGCACGCATCAAGAGGAAGAGGTTAGAGTTGAACTTCGACGTCCAGCTGATGTTTCAGATGCCTTCAACGTAGATATCTGCATTTGATTGATCCCTTACTTCTTATCCAGAACTTAAGAATTTTATGTCGATGAAAAAAAATATTCTTCGCCACTGCGGTATGACAATGTCTCGTGTAATAGCTAGCTAACACAGCCAACACCAACTGTTATTATAATTAAGTTGTTGTTAGTTATCGATACTTATAAAACCTGGTATAAGACGGAACATATTGATCTTATAGTGATCTACACTATCATTGTTATGAGATATGAATAAAAAAAATAAAAATAAAAATAAAAATAGAACCTAGCAATTAGTATATAATAAAAAAATTTCACAAAATAATTAAGATAAGAGTTGTAATTGCTGGTATTAAGTACCATGAAATGTTTTCATCCTCCTCATCCCTTTTTTGAGAACTATTGAGGTTTGGACGTGGAAGACCGGAATCTGTTCCGGCATCAACCACCATTTTCCGGCAATTATTGCACATATTGCTGGGCAACCACTCTTCCTCACTAGGCTTATTCTTTCTTCCACTTTCTTCAAAAATATCACCACACGATTTACAGACTAGTGTCACATGGTGATCTTGCCTCGTATCATCTGTTGTCAAAACAAGAAATTAATAGTCAAAATGTGTACCTTTTCTTCCCAACAAAAAAATGGAAAAAATAAATGTTGTCGCAGAATTTGAAAAATAAGATAAACATTTAAAAAAATTAAAATAACATAATAAATAATGGAATATATATACATCATAATCAACAAAAGAAAATGACAATAAATGTTGATTTAATTATTTTAGCACATTATGCATTCAACCTTTTTCTCTGCCCGGCTTTATGCTGGATCGACCAATAACTAGGGAATTCTTGTGCTTAACAACAAGTTCGGAACCACTCGTACCTCATTAGCTAAACGATACAAAATTCATTAATACTAGAGATTTTGCAACGCAATGTGGATTATATTTTTTTTAAAAAAAACTAGAAACAGTTAATTCATAAATTGTAATGCTCATTATTTTTGTTGGACCGAAAGAGTATGTATTTAGTACAAATTTAAAAACTTAATTGGACTATTTTTTTTTTTAGACAGAGATAGTGTAAAATAATTTTGAAATGGCAGACATAGAAAACTCCTCGATCTTCATGATTGATTAGCTAGCCACTCGATATTATTAATTCATCGTATGTACCAAAACCAATGTAGTTAACATTCCCCACCTTATAAAAATTGTCTATTTATCGAACTGTAAGCAACAAAATTTAAAGTTTCCGAACCAATATCTTTGGATGATTGTCCCGCACTTGAAGAATTAAGCTCTCCGCGGCGAGTAGCATTGTTTGGTTCTGGTACTTCATGACTCGTAACCTTACAGAAAAGCAATAATTACACACATTAGATTTTACAAGATCAATTTTCAAGCATATTAATGCACTTTTTCGTTCTTTTCATAACCAGTTGGAGCATTTAATTCCTACGCGTGGCTGATTTAAGTTAGCACTTACAGTAAAGTTGCTGGTTTGATTGGAGATACGAATTGTTGTGTTGATTGGCGGTGCTGTGATCTCATTATTAATAGTACTTATTGAAGAGGATTCATCTGCAAAGTTAGAGACCTGAAACACAAAAATGAAAAAAAAAAAAAGAAAGTCTCAAATTATCAAAAAATTAAGGAGTATTTTCCTGATTAAAATAAGCACTTTGCTAGGTTAGCTAGCAAGACCTGAGTATGGTCGTTTGGAATAATCCAAGAAAGATCCGTCTCAAACTTGATATCCCTTGATCCTGCCTGGCTCATGAATAAAACCTGGTACGATGCGCTTTCATGTCCTACTGATCGAGGCGGGCGCCCAAGAAAAACGAAAAAGAGAACACAAAATTAGGTTTCAAAGTTCATATATTAAATGCGTACAGAAAATCAACTAACTCAGCATATGGAGACCTTTGTACATCTCTTCCGAGATTCTGGAGGGATATTCAAAATGAAGCAGTACTGATGGAGCTGCCTCTGAAGACATCTTGATCGAATAATTATGATTCTGGTTTAGTTTTCAATAGAGGAGAAGATTTGAATATGTAGTAAGTACCTAAATAGCACTAATAGCTAGGAGAAGATACTTTTTAAAGAACTTAGTGGCGAGAAAAGGTTGCTTTAAGTTAAAAAATAAAAATAAAAAAAGGAAGAAAGAAACAAGAAAAAGGGAATGCATGTTTCTGTTTCTTTTTCTAGGAAGATGGTGCTGAATTTCATAATGGGATTTAACGGTTGATCTTTTTTGCGTTAAGACTTTACTATTCATAAGATTAAGGCATTTTAGTGTACTTTCTTTGTCCTGTCGCAATAATTGTTTAATTTTGGGTTATTTGTATTTATTAATAATCTTATAAAAACGAGTTTGTAATCACTAGAGTTTGATTATTCATAATCTTGCTTAAGTTTAGATTTGAATTTCTTAACGTACTCCTATCAAAATTGAACTAATATTATCGAACAGATCGTGCTCATAAACTGCACAAACTTCAGACTAATTTGTCAACTAAGGGGGCCATCAAAGAAAATTTATGGTGATTATTTAGTGGCTCAAACTAAGCTTACATCCACGAACTTTTAGTATTCAAGTCCCTTTCATGAAGTAGGTCGGGTTAAGTCATTGATGGTGAGGGATAGGCGTGAATTCTTGTAATATATGTTTTTCACCATAATAACACTCTCTAGTCAACCCGGAAGGAAGGCTCAATCATGTTTCCTTTAATTTCAACTAGCTCGATCGAGGTTATAAGAAAAAGTCTTCAAAAAGTGTGATTAATGAGGACATACGATTGGTTTATAGGTGTGCAAGAAAATCAGTATAGGGACCATAATCCATAAATATGGTCAATTTTGCCTAGTTAATTTGGGTATATGGAAACGTAATCCTATGTAAAAGTTCGAAATGATTTCCACAAATCAATGATTTAGATATGTCGCAGCTGGATCTTCTCTAAGGATTTTTTTGACTACTTCGTAACGGAAATGATAATAGTACTAGGTTTTCATGTTAGGATGGAAGTGTATTTGAAAGGCGTAGGTGGCCACCATATGAGAAATATGTATCCAATTATAATTTATATGTCTTATAAGTAACAAATTTACCACAGTAAAACAATCATATACAGTACTTATAAGTAACAAATTGATATGTATTTTTTTCCCCTCGAAATGATTATTTTATTTGTAGTACAACAAATGTAACACAACAGGATATCAAATCTAACTAAGTTTTGTGGCAAGGAGTAATTACAGTAATTCCAGACCAAAATATGAATTAAAATGTACTTTCTGTATCTCAAAAGAAATTCATGTCAAATTTTGAAGATACATCAATTGGGCCAATATATACTTAAAAACAATATAAATTTATCAACTTAATATAAACTATTATACAACTGAAGTAATTAAGTCCAGTTCATGACATGGGGAGCATCTTTCAAGATACATCAGCTGGGCCTGAAAATATTGGAAGAATACGTAAACTGTTGATCTTCATGCTAGAGCCCTTAAAAATATACAAAGACCTAAGAAGGACAATTAAAGACACTTTTAATACTCTTGCTGATGAAGCTATGAAAAGAACACACAAGGAAAGGGCACTTTCATTTAGATCCATTTCACGCTAATTTTAGAAAGGAAGGAAAAAGAAAAAGGTGAATTAATGGGTTATCTTTAATGTTTGTACCTCCGTGTTCCTAAAATATCTGCTAGGTCGAATAAATATGATATTTGTTGAATGCATCTCGTGTTGTATGAGAACCAAAAAAATCATACTGAAATGGTAATTAGTTCATCGTCCAATGACAATGAAGATTAACTTGAGAACCGATCTGAAACTTTTTGAAATAACAAATGAATTTGGGAGTTGGGAAGCAATGTTTTACTTACACCAAGTAACTTGACGAAGCATGGATTGGTACCGACGTCTCCAGTTGATTGAACCGGCAGCTATGGCAGTATTGAAACCCTAAAACCTGCAAAAGAGGGCCTGGGGTCTTTCGAGGGTAGGCACTCTGATACTTAAGCCAGTAAGAGTATTCATGAGAGAAGTATATAATTAGGGTATATAGATCGTACCTTTGATATGAGGGGTTGATCCTTATTTATAGAGTTAGGTTATGAAATACTTTCTTGGTAGGAAAGTAATTATAAACCGACCTAGAAACTTCCAGGGGCCGATTGGACTGCTCAACGAACTTGGGCCGGCCTAGTCACGGGCGGTACTATTTGGACTCGTCAAGTGCCCCTTATTAAGTCCATACTTCGAAGTCTGAAGATAGGATATGCTTAATAACATGAAGTATAAATTTTCCCCAAGTTCGGGAAGAACTAACTTGAATCGAGAACCTATGACAAGTTAGCATCGAGGAGAAACTAAAGCAACGAAAGCATTAGTGCGTACCTTTTCTCGATGTGCATGTCACTATTAACGATTGACATCAATGTGAAGTCTGATGAAGATAAAATCACTAGTCCAGACTTTTAATCGAGAAAGCATCATGTGATGATCTTCACAATCTGCACTAGAGAAATATCGAGACGAATACCCCGCTTCTTGAGAGGATTATAGAAGGAGTGTAGTGGAGATTCCCACTACTTCAGATATAATGATGTGTTGTCAACAGCCGGCAGAACAAGGAATCTGCTCGAAAACTACAATGCACGCTTCTGATCGGGAAGCATTAACCCCAAATCTCAAGAATGATAATTGAGAAGTGATATCGAGTAGCATCGTGAATAGAGGCAAGAGATATGCCTAAATGAGGTCAAACACATGAATCTCGAGGACTTCAAGAAGATAAGCTCGGAAAGGAGATGTCTGGTAATACTATGTTGAGAACCAAGAGAGAAGATCTAATAAGACTGTGATTATTCATATTTGTCGTCGAAGACACAAGTTCGAGATGAAATATAAGATGTAGCTGCATGGAAAGAACTTGCCCCAATATAACCTGTTGTCGAGAAATCTGAAGACCCGAGTAGAGCAGCTCGAGTCTAATATAGCATTAGAAAGTAGAAACTAACGGTCATCATAAACGTCCTCGATTGCTGAGGAGAGATAGAAGAGTAGAAGACATCGTAAGAGATGTCACATGTGATATCCATAATGCAGGGATAGTGAGTCTCGAGAAGATTCTCTCGAGTAGAGCTCCAGACCAAACTCAAGAACTGTAATCATCTGACCTTGAACAAGGTACACAAGCATTTAAGTTTATCTATGTCCGCCCAACCGACCCGCTTGCCATTTCTCATGTCCCGAGAAATAAAGCATAGAACCCTCAGTCCGAGTTTGAGAAGTATAAACCAGGTTGATGTGTCGAACCCGAGTAGATGTATAATATCGTTGCTCGAACTTGAGCAAGAATCGAGGAGGTCTTACTCATTAGTGTGAGAAGAAAAGATACCCCAGTCTGAGTATCAAGTGAAGATCATCGATAATAGTCATGGGAAGAGATCCGTAGACCCAAGATCATCACAAGAAAACAAAAACACAACCTTCCAAACACCTTATACACCTTCCAGACACCTTACACATCTTCCAGACACCTTACACTCTCCCGTATATAAATGTTCCTCATTATAGATAACCCCGGAACCATTACTCATCTCGGAGCCCCCAAGTCTTAGGGTAGAATTTGGCAGACCGAGATTTTTTAGATAAGAATAGTATGAGAGTGTAATTTTCACTGCTCAGTTCGAGGCGATGACTAATCAAGAAGCCCCCATACTCGTAGGGGTTAAGGCAATGAAATGGCATCTATCAGAAGGAGATGGATGATATCCACCATAATAGAAGAAATAGGCCTATATTGACGAGGCACAAAGTGAATTCGAGAACATCGGGAATAAAGTCATTTTCGTTCTGATGTATTGGATGATATAATAGATCGATTCAAGAAAGTATAATCGAGAACAAGTCCAGTTCTCATTGAGGTATAAAACACGTGTTTAGGTTTGAAGGTTAGTCTTTTCCTTGTTCATGAACATGGAAATCAAGGCCTTTCTCAACACCGGATATCGAGTACACGGCTTATGAGTTATTTGTAAAGCGCTTATAATGGCCGGATGTCAAGTACACGGCTCTCTTGTAGGCGATCCTAAAGAGGATACCTTTGTATAAACGATTCTGAAGGGAATGTCTTTTAGGGACGATCTTGAAGAGGATATCCACGAGGAAACTGGGTATGAGCTCCTCGAATACAGACGATTCTGAAGAGAATGTCTTTTTGCGGATGATCCTGAAGAGGATATCCACGAGGAAGCTGGGTACGAGCTCCTCGAATACAGGTGATTCTGAAGAGAATGTCTTTTTGCGGATGATCCTGAAGAGGATATCCGTTTAAATGACTAGTCATGTTTAACTGGGTGTAACTGGATATATGTAATATGCCAGCTCCCATGAGTACTTGAGTGGGCTACCACTATGTGCATTAGACTGATAGTCTATATCCCGGGTTTAAAGTATAAATGCCCTAAGATCAGAGCGAACTTGATGTTGCTTCTATCCTCGAGGGAAGCGCTGCGAGAGTTACGTATCTCTGCTTATTTTGCCCCAGAGTTCTCGGGGTATGTTTATCCTGCAACTTAGTCCGAGCTATGTTTTGCAAGTATAATAATGACATGCTTATGTAAATAGTGTGAAATTCAACTAATAAGCATATGAAAACATTCAAGTGTAAAATGCTGTTCTCCTTGATGAAGGATGTATACCCAAAGGCTCGTTTGAGTGAACCTTGGTTTAGAGAAGGAATTCGTCTGAATCCTTTCATGAGAATTGTCGAGGATGTAGCATTCTGATGGTGATACCTATCGAGCACAGGCACTATGATAAACCAACATGGTTCTCTGATTCTGACAAAACACCTACTCATGCACTTGTAGATTTATTAGTGAGTAATATATTATCATAGTACGAGAAAAGGCATGGAATACAATATATTATTAACCATTTTGAGACCAAATGTAAGAAGTAGAAAGATCTCACCACGATATGAGCAAGGCTATTGAAGCCATGGTTTGTTTAGGTCACAACAACTATGAAAGAACGCTGCGGAGATCATGCAACGCTTCTCCGCGGATTTGTACTTACTACGGACCCCTGAAGAGTCATAGAGATTTGTCATAGGGCTCGACCATCAGATGTGAAAGTCATTGTGGCTTCGG